ACAGATCCTCTTACTCAACCAAGATGAGAAAAATAAAAAGGAAAAGTATTCAGGGCCAAAGGGTCATTCAGAGCACATGAACAGCCTGCTGAGCAGGCTGAGGGCCTAGCTTCACTCCTCAGTGCTACAAAAAACAGCAAACAAAATAAATCACAAACAATAGGTATTCAGCAGGCTTTTGAAAACAAAGAGTTTAAGGGAGCACACTAGCCAGCTTACGAGAGTCAGAGGTAGAAGAGTCTGTCTGTCTGCACACTGGAGACCTGAAGGAGCGTTGCAAGGCCCTGCAGCCCGCAACAATGTCTCATGCAAGTCCGTGCCAAGAATCTGCACCAGAATGCCCAAGGGCCAGTGGCAGGAGCTAGAAAGTCTGCACCAGCAGGTGCATCCACCCTGGAAGCCAGGAGACGATGTCCAAGATGAAGACAAGGATTGAAGCTCTCCTGAAGGAACACAGCAGCCAAAGCTCCTCTGAAGAAAAAACACCAAAACTCAGCTTCTTCAGGAAAGTCAGCTGCATACAATTTTCCCTCCTGCTCTCCTTTATGGCCTCCTCCAGCAATCCTCAGGTGGATTCCTTGCCCAGAACCACGCGGACCCAGTTCAGCTGGGCCTTCCCACTTAAGCTGACCATTAAGTAACCCACCACAGGGAGGTATGTATCAAGTCCCATGAGGAATAAAAGAAAGTTCCAGGTCATCCAAGAAGATTTCACGAAAAAGTTCATTAAATAAGTATTTCTTTTTTTTTTTTTTCAAATCAAATCGCAAGTACAGTTTCAACAAATAATAGACTGCATATATTCTTCTTAGTGGTTAATTGCTGTACAAGATGCAGACTTGTGATCCTATTTACAAACACTATTAGAACAAATCATTCTATTCTAAATAAGTACTTCTAAAATGAGGTACACTTGTCTTCTAATTGAAAAAGGAGAAGAATATACACAATGCAAAATGAAAAGTTTAAAGAGCTCGATGACTTGGGAAAGCAGGTGTCGAAGACTAGTTATGCAGAAGGAGAAGTAATTGAAGAATCAATTTTGGATACTTGATGGAAATATTTGTGAAAAGGGTGAGGCGTCCAGGACAATGCTAGTCTAGAGATGATTTTGGGAGAGAACGAGGATAGGGCAGACAAATGCACAGGTACATACATACATAAAGTGCATAGAATACCGGTGGCAAAGTTAAGAAGTTGATTCCTAACATGGTACTTTGCATTGCACTATGATTTTTATTAAGCTAATTGGCACGTTCTGGATATACATAATGATCATATTCATCACAGGGTACTTGTACCTGGACATGATATACTTAGTCCCCTTCTTTTGCCCATTCTCCTCCCTTGCTTTCAACCTCTCTTCTCCTAATTACAAAGCATTGTCTCCATTTTGTCCTTTTCTTACATTGTTTTCTTTTCTTTATCCCCCTCCCACTTTCCTTTCCTTTTGAACAATTTCTTCCTATTTTACAATATATGTTATGAATTTTGGTTTTTATTTTGGTGTTTTATTTTATTTTATTTTGAATTTTGGTGTTCAGTTTCTTACACCAGAAAGACAATCTGATATTTACACGTGTCCAATTTATTTCACTTAAAAGTGTGGTCTAGAGGTGCATCCACTTACCTAGAAATATCCACTTACCTAGCTGAGAAGTGCTCCATTGTATTAAAAAGACACATCTTTTTTTTATCTGTTTATCAGTTGATAAGCATTTGGGTTGTTTCCACATACTACAAACTGTGCTGTTATAAACATGATTATGCATATATCACTGTGGCATGATGCTTTTACTTCTTTTGGAAAGATACCAAGAAGGGCAGTAGTTGGGTCAAATGGAACCTCTACCCTTAGCTTTTTGAGAAATTCCCACACTGATTTCCACAGCCTGCATCAGTCTACACTCCCACCAGTGGAAAAGGGCTCCTTTTTCCCCTACAGCCTCATCAGAATTTGTTATTGACTGATTTCTTAATAGCCATCCTTTCTGGAGATCGAATTTCAGCACTCTTGATTTGCAACTCTCAAACGATCACGATGTTGAACATTTTTTTCATATATCATCTACCATTTGTACTTCTTTTGAGAAGTGTCTATTCATTTCAGATGTCCACTTATGGATTAGGTCTTTAAATTGGGGGAGGTCTAATTTTTTTCAATTCTTTATCTGTTCTAGATAACAATCCTTTGTCTGAAGAACAATGAGCTATTTTTTCCCACTCTGTGGGTTGTCTTTACCACTCTGTTGGTGATTTTGCTGAAAGATGAGATCAAAATGTTGATCCTTACAGGGCTGGCCAAATAGCTCAGCAGATTAAACAGCCTGCAAGCAGGTCCTGGCCTGCCATGCTAGCCCAACCCCCAGGGTGAGCTGAGACAGCAATTGAGACTGTGTGGTGGCAGGCACCTGTAATCCCAGCACTTGGGAGGCTGTAAACAGGAGAATCACTATGAGTCTGATCTAGTAGTGAGACCCTGAACACCCTGTAGACCCTTCCCTAAAAAATATTTTTTAAAAAATTGATTCTTTGTAGTATTTCCTGTGCAATGAGGATTTTGTTCATTAAATCTTTGTCTACATCTATGTCTTTCACAATACTTTTTAAAATTACAAAATTCTGGCATTTCAGAACTCAATAAAACTTTAAAGTAGCTGGCCTAGTGATTTTCCAACTAGACTTTTTGGAACCCTGAACAGGGACCTAGCAAAGAATAGGGTTCCAGGATCCTCATTTCTGCTTTACCCATAGATGCACCTTTTTCTTAGTTTTGCAGAATTCTTTAAATAAAACATCTAAAATTGGGCTGGGGAGATAGTTTGGCAGTCTAAGCACCTGCTTGGCAAGTGTAAGGACACAGGTTCAATCCCTTATACCCCATGCCATACTGGGCCCGAACTGAGCGGCACCAATATTGGGCAAGGTGGCACATGCCTGTCATCACAATGCTGGGAGGCTGAGACAGGAGAATCACTACAAATCTGAGCTATAGTGAGACCCTACACCAAATAAATACATATTTTTTGAAATCTAAAATAACCCATATAATGCAAAACTCTTTTTGTGGCTGGCCCACATACAGTAATCCTCTAATGCAGGTGTATGCTTATGCCTAAAACACTCTTTTCAAACATTTTTGCTAGAAAATACCTTCTAATCCTACAAGTCTTACTTCCTTAACTGCTTACTGGAAATGATTATTCCAGGAGGAGTGAAGTGCTACTGCCCTCCGTGCTTCCAGGGTACCTCAGGCGTGCTTCAATCCTTAACAGTTATCACATTATATTGACTATGTTGAACTATGTGCTAGCATTGGCTGTGACACAATGCATGAGATAAGCAACTGAAAAGGAGGAAGGTTTAGTTTGTTTCACAGTTTGAGAGGTTTCTGTCCATATCAACAGACTCCATTGCTTTGGGGCCTGTGGTGTAGCAGAACATCATGCCTGGGAGCACACAGTATAGCAAAGCAAGAAGGAAGGACCAGGTCCTAACATCCCCTTCAGTATCCCCACGCCTGCTAATGACCTATTTCCTCCACACAGGCTCACTCTAAAGTTCCCAACACCTCTCATCAGCTTCCTCAGCTGCATACCAAGGCTTCAACCTGAAGTTTATTTTGGGGGGGCTCCTGGGGCAGGGATTTATGATTCAAGTCCAAGTCATAAGAAATTGTGTCTTTTATTTCCTAGATGATAACAACCGAGGACTGAATCTTTCATTTCTGTATAGCTATTTGTTATCACACTATGGACAAACAAATGTTAAATAAATTATCATAGTTAATAAAAGAATAAGCAAAGTGGTACATAAGTACATAGGGAAACAGACACTAAAGACATTGGTCTACCCAAGATCGCAGAGCTAGTCAGGAGAACTAAAACACAGAACCTAGACTGCCACCCTGCTCATATACCATGCTCCCTATCATCTTAATTAAATATAATTTACTCTATGCAATTCTAAAGTTCTCCTTTTCATAATCAGCATAGCAGTCTAAAACCAGTACTTATATATACTTTGTATGCTAGTTTGCAGAATATATTATTATTTTGTTAAGAGAATTGCAAAGACAAGATCATTAATCAAATTCCTCTTCTTAGTCCTAAAATCATAGTACTTGGCAGAGTTAAAGCTTGTTAAGATAAAAGTCCTTATGACCAAAGATACCACTACCATATTTACTTTATAACTGACCAGCTCAATAGTAAGTATAAAAGCATTAAGTAAAACAATTGTAAGCACTACATGACATCAGGAAAAACTGAAAATTAGAAAACATTTTCAGAAAAATTAGAAAATTTTCTATCTTAAGAGAGGAAATATATTCAGGTCTAGCCATATTGTGACATATTCTGAGAACAGGAATATTTTAGATGAAACTCAAAACTTTTGAAGAAGGAAAATAAAATTCTTCTCTTGAGGGATCTGATACAACTCTAACCATAATTCACATTTCACAAATCCATGAATATCAATTCTAATTTTATTCAAGTAAAAAAATAGAATTAAAGTCACTGCATTTACTTCTTTTTCATATAATCTTTAATTTCAATTCAAGCTCATTTATGATCTAGAGCAAAATGAAAGATATCAAAACATACACATAATTCTAGTAATAAAATGAAATACAAAAAGGTGTTTCTTTCCATTTTATTTTCCAAAAGATTCATGAGTTTTATATTACTCTTTTAATCAGCATAGATTTCTCAAGTGAGAAATAAAGATCTTTTATGACTAATATAATCATTTTCCATGAACTACAAATCTTGTTTGCTTATTTTTACAAATGTAAAGAAAGAGTTTAAATGTTTAGTAGAAGTTTTAATCTTCAATTTGGTCTAGATTTATATATTAAAAGTTAAGATAATTATTTAAAATAATATTACTATTTTCAAATTACTCATTACATCCCTTACTTCTCTATTTAATGAGTCTTTTCTTTTCTTTTCTTTTCTTTTCTTTTCTTTTCTTTCTTTTTTTTTTTTGACTTGCAGAACCTTCACACCAGTTTACTGCCCAAGCCCACTAAGTGGAATTACACCTCTACTTTACGTAGCTCAGACCAGACAGGCTAGTATCTTAAAAATACTCCTGCAATATGGAATCTTAGAAAGAGAGAAGGACCCTCTCAACATCGTCTTAACAATATTACTCTACCCTTCCCGGGTGAGAATAATGGTTGATCACGAATTGATTGACATTGAGGAAGATGCCAAAACATGCTTAGTGCTATGTTCCAGAGTCCTTTCTGACATTTCAATCAAGGAAATAAAGGTAAGCAAATCATAATTATTTGGTCTTCCACTCAACAGCTGATGAATTTTAAGACGAAACTGTGGAGGCAAAAATAAAGTTAATTTTTATGTATAGATTGCATGCTGTGGCAAATCAATCATTGAGTGTATGTTGATTAAAAGACACAACTCAAATTGTCTTAAAAAATTAGTCCTTTACTTTAGAATTTTAAAAGTTAAATTTATTTTAGTGTTGTTAAATAGATATATTTTAGCATTTTTTAATAGCATAAGCTTTTATCATGATTTGTGTCTCTGAAAAACAAAATAAATTAAGAATTTAACAAAGTTTTTTTTCAATAGAATATTTTAAAATGAGGGCTGTATTTCTCCTGCAAAATACACAAACTAAGAAACAGATGTTTCCACTCAAAATCCCCAATTTTGAGCAATCTGAGAAATAGAAAGGCTTAAACTAATTGTTCAATTTGTAATGTCTCAGAAATGGGGCAAACTTTTATTTAATCAGATTTTTTTGAATAATCTAAATTTAGAGAAAAAAAATCAACCATGCACAGCAATGTCTACTTTTCAAAACAAACTGCAAGTTTCAGCACCAAGTTGTATGATGCCCTCTCGTAACAAGAAATAACTGCTTAATGGAGAAGAAGTTACCCTAAGTTCAGACTAGATGAATTACTAAGGGACAGCAGTTCTCCTAATCTTTAAAGAAGTAACTTCAGAAATTAATAAGAGATATCACTCTGTGGAGTTCTTTTAATGCCTTAATAAATGCCAATACTTACGTCAACTATATAAGAAAAACAAATAGTTCAAAATTTTTGGGAACCCATTTAAAAATGAAAATTAGGGCCAGGAGATAGTGCAAGGTCCTGAGTTCAATCCCTGGTATAAAAAAGAGGAGGAGGAGAGGGAAGAGGGGGAAGAAGAAGAGGAGGGGGAGGAGGAGGAGGAGGAATAGGAAGAAGAAGAAAAAGGAGGGGGAGGAGGAGGAGAAGGAGAAGAAGAAGAAGAGGAGGAGGAGGAAGAAGAGGAGGAGCAGGAGGAAGAGAAGAAGGAGGAGGAGGAGGAGGAAGAGGAAGAAGAAGAAAAAGAGGAAGAAGAAAAAAAGAGGAAGATGAAGAAGAAGAAGAAGAGGAGGAGGAGGAGAAGGAGGAAGAAGAAGAGGTGAATGAGGAAGGAAGGAAAGAAAGAAAGAAAGAAAGAAAGAAAGAAAGAAAGAAAGAAAGAGAGAGAAAGAAATTAAGCTGTATCTGCTTACTGCTTAGTTCTTGTCCCAGGTTAGTCCTGCACAGTTAATACATAAACCCCAAGTCTCAACCAGTTCCATTAAATGCTATTCCTGAGGTACAACAGTAGGAGAGTACTGACATAGAATGAGTTAACTAAAGTCACTAATCTGAGTGGCACAGAATTAGAGCTGGGTCCAGTTAACCACAATTTAACAAGGTAAAGTGAAGTTGCACTGAACAAGAAAGCAAAGGATGATGTAAAACTGACCAAAGAATATGCTAAGGCCTGTTTCTGCTTTATTTTCCACACTTCCCAGTAGTCTCCCCATCACAGCACACAGATTTTATTGTAAATATGGATTTGAATATCTCTATTACTATACCATGGATAGGTCTTATGAATAGCATAATGTTGAGTAAAATAAATCAAATAAGCTTTAATATTGCACAATTTCTCTTATGCAAGAAACCTAAAATATAAACAAAAGAGTTAAATAAATGATAGATAATATAACATCTTTTACAAAGGAAAATCAAGAAATGGTGACCAAAGAGAGGAAATGGATGAAAAAAAGAAAAAAAAAACACCGAGTGAATGTAATCAATATATACTATAAACATGTACTTATGAAATTAAAAGGCTGGTGAGATAGCTCAGCAGACTAAGTGCCTGATTAAGGAAGTCCAGGGGCTGGGGTTTGAGCCGACCAGTGAGTCTGGGCATGGTGGCACGCACCTGTAATCCCAGCACTAGGGAGACTGAAAACAGGAGGATCATTAGAAGTCTGAGATGTGCAGTGAGACTCTGTACCAGATACATCAAAAAAAATTTAATTAATTTTTTTTTAAATTTTTATTTGTGTGTGTGTGTGTGTGTGTGTGTGTGTGTGTGTGTCCAGCTCAGCCCGCCAGGGGGCGGGGCTGGCTGGCATGTGGTGCTGGGGGATTGAACCACAGTTCCTGTGCTTTGCTAAGCTTGTTCTAAGTAGGTGCTTTAGACCACTGAGCCATCTCACCAGCCCCTAAGGAATAAGGGTTTTTTTTGTTTTTTGTTTTTCTTTTTTTACTCCTTGAATGCCTTCAGGGCACTTTTGGCTGGTTGCAGTGTTGTGGGGATCGAACTAGAGCAACCGGAAGCTGACAGCTTTGTGGAAGCAGTCACTTAAAGAACTGAGCTAGGGCCAGGTCCACAAATTTAATTAAAATTTAAAAAGAAACTATTTTGCATGCCCTATCAAGTATCCCAGGCACCTACCACAATATTGAGAATATATCAGATACCCTTTAAGTAGTTGATGTCTAAATAAATAACACATAACTAGCTAAGTAAAAGTGTCATGGTGCCCAGAACCCAGGGTCCACAGAGAAGCACCTTTATCTACAGCAATATCCTTCCCAAGTCCTTCTTCCGACATTTGTCTTCTGCAGTTCAATCCTTAAAGACAGCCTCCTGAAACCTCAAAAGACATCTTTTCAATTGGACAGATCTAAAGTTAGTAACTTTTATGCTACAATGGTTGGCACCATCTGGGGAATTTTAGCATTTATACTGTGTCCATCCCATGAATAAGAGAATCAGAAGTTCTGATAATTTGTACAGCCTCAGAGAATTCTAGTGTACGCCACATAGACAAAGAGAACTGTAGGAGAAGAAACTGATGAAGTGCGTGTATGATCCATCTAAATTTAAAACTTACCCAATATATGGAGTAGGTTTTCATAGTTATAAAACAACTTTGCTTTGGGTCCTTATGCATATTATTTAAACTTCATTATTATTAAGAATTACATGAGGATAAAATACAATGGTACCTCGGTTTATAAACTTAATTTGTTTTATGATTTTGGGGAAGACTGCTGTGTTTGTGTTTGTATGGAGAAGATAGCTCTGGTCCCTTTTTGTCACCCAGTACAGAGTTTGCAAATCAAAGCAAAATTTTACTGAATGCTTTTGTTTGTGAACTGAATTGTTTGTAAACAAGATCATTCATGAACTGAGGCAGTACTTTACCTGCTTCAAGTGAAAATGCTTTAGAAAAATGTTAAAATATTTATATAAAGATCTATATTCTGAATTTAAATAAAATAAGTATCAATAATTTGAGCTAACTCAATGATTAACATGAGAAATGAAATATTTCCCTTCTCTTCAGATGCAGTTGAGTTTGGGGAGGCGTCCAATTATCTCAGATTGGATGGAATACATTCCCCCCACAAGATACAGGGATCCGTGCGAACTCTCCCATCTCTGCAGAATAACCATCAGGACTCAACTACTAATCAACAATATGCTCCCAGAAGGAATATTTTCACCTGAAATTCCTGTTGGTCTACAGAAATACCTGAACTTAGAGAGTTAATATGTATTTTTATCCTAAGTTCTTCAAGGATGATCACCACTGCATGGCTTGGAAGTTAATAAACTATTAACTTCAGATAAGTTTTTATTGGATCGAACATTCCACTAGAAAATATATTTTCACTTGCTGTTCACAGCCACTTTTTAGTCAGGATGTGACTCTGGTCTCTACCTTCTACACAATGATATAAATTATGCATGCTATGATACAACTAGGAAAGATCTATTTTGATCCAGCATTACATGAAAAAGAAAATGTTACCTGTTAAACTGTTAATGTCACTAAGAAAATTTCCAAATTTATTTATGCAGACAAATTGTAGATCTTTTTAAATACCCATAGACTTTTCTCTCTATGAGATTGAGCTTGTAAAACAATGATGGTAACTGGAGGACAATTCTCTATGGGTCTCTGATGGTTCTGCCTGTATCAGGAACAGAGGCATAGTCATTTGTTATAGATTAGATTATCAAGGTTATTTGTATTGTGCATAATCTCAGAAGACAGAGATAATGTCTCTTTCTGGAGAAGAAAGTGGGTTTGCTTACTTTACAGTACAGTAAAGGTAATATTGTACCCTAGGGAAAAGGTCAACAGGTTATCTTAAAGCTCGTTATAAAAGATCAGAATTTCCTGTGCTCAGGACTCCTCAACTGTGACACAACCACAGTGAATATATCTACATGAACCCTTCCATTTCGTGAAGGGGAGTACAAGTGCAACCAACACAAACACAAAGCTTGTGGTGCTTGCTGTATCATCACTAATAAAGTTCTGTGTACTGGCCCAGCACTCTGATCAGCCAAATTGCTAGTCTGCAGGAGACTTAAGGCTTTACACTTCGTCACTAAGTGCATCTGGCCCCACCTGGTGACAGCTTTTTAGGGCTTGTCTTTGTATATCATTAAGCCAGATAAAGAGTAGCACTTTCTACTATCCACTTGTAATCTGCATACAATCAAAAACTTTCACAAATCATAGAACAAGTGTTCATTTTGGCCTGATGATTACATAATAAACTGGATAGCATCATGGTATCTAAAGAATAGAATGTAAATGAAGCAACAGAGACATGGAATTAAATAACTTGGTTACTTCCTTTTTTTTTTTTTGGTGGAACTGGGGATTGAATTCAGGCCCTTGTGCTTGCTGGGCAAGCACTTATTCTACTGAGCCATTTCCCCAGACCAGTTACTTCCTTCTTGCTTTCTCATAATACAAGTATGTTACAGAATTAAAGAATAGAAATGTTTAGTTAGATCCTTAATAAAAATACATTTAATCCTTAAGTTCTCGCTTTCCTTTTAATTGTGTTATGCCTTTCTATTTTTATTTCTTCTTTTGAGTTCTTACACAGGGGAGACTATATGATATTTACACATGTGGGTCTGTTTTATTTGACTTATCAGTATATCTTCAAGTGGCATCCACTTAAATATAAAGGCTTTGAGTTTATCATTCTTTATAGCTGAGTAATACTCCATTGTATAAAAATACCACATCTTTTTCATGCATTCCTCAGGTGATGGGCATCTTGGTTGTTTCCAAAATTTGGCTATCACGAATTGTGCTGCTATAAACATAGGTGCACATATGTCACTATGACATGACGTTTTCAGTTCCTCTGGGAAAATTCCCAGTAGGAGCACAGCTGATTTGAATGGGATTTCCAGTCCTAGTTTTCTAAGGAGTCTCCACACTGATTTTCAAAATGGTTGCACCAGTCTACATGTCCACCAGCAGTGGACAAGGATTCCTTTTTCCTAAAGCCTCTCCAACATTTGTTGTTGGTTGATTTCTTTATCTAAGCATATTTGTTTTTTGTTTTTTGGGGGGGGGTTGTTTGGTTTTTTTTGGTGGAACCAGGGATTGAACTCAGGCCCTTGTGCTTGCCCGGCAAGCACTTATTCTACTGAGCCATCTCCCCAGCACCCTGGTTGATTTCTTTATGATAGCCATTCTTTCTGGGTGAGATGGTATCTCAGTGTTGTTTTAATTTGCATTTCATGTATAAATCCAGAGGGGATTTGACTGACCTTGTCAGATATAAAAGTTACATTTCTTGTTATATAGGTCTTGCTTTATCCTGATTTAGCCATCCAGCAGAAAAGTAAAAAACAAAGTATAAAAAGTCAAGCCTTATTAATATGGTGAGCTGTGAAAGGATCAAGTCAACAACTTCTGGCATTGCCAGTCCTTCGGATAACCCACTACTATTATGGACTACTGGACTATATTGGAATATTTTGCTGAATTCACACACCTACAATATTTAAATGACAATGGAATACCCATCTCTGACAATACTAAACAAAAGGATAAAAATGAAGGACCATTTTGTATCTGTATATTCAAAATAGGATAGATATATAGCTACATTCTCTTAATTCAATGAATAGAAAGATTTGTCATAATAGTGTTTGTGGACAGGGTATCATGTCTGCATCTTGTACTATGAATAACCACTAAGAACACAACAATATGCAATGTATTAATCATTGAAACTGTCCTACTAATTGGCTTTGAAACTATCTCATTGCTATTTGTTTCTCAAAAAAATAATTAAAAATACATTTAATTAGAATTGAGAATATATTTAACCTCGAATGTAAAGAAGTTCATCATTACACTGTACACTAATGTGAATCTTTCCTTTACTAGTAACATGTAAGAGTTACATTTTTTTGAAAGTATGTATCAATGTAAAGAAATCCAATGAGCTCCTTTTATCTTAGCCTATCTAAGTATAGCATACATCAAATTGGCAACCCAGATGTAGCAATTTGTCTGGGAAGATACTTCAGCAAGTTTTTGTATAGTCATCCTACTGTCCACCTCCATCTTTACAAAAAGCATCCTGAATTGGGCCTACTCAACACTTTTATTGAATGTCACTCAGTCCTATAGATGGAGGGTGGGTCGGAAAACAGCCTCTAAAGCTCAGGAACGTCTTCCTACTGGGCTTCTGACTACTTCTATATTTTTCAACATGGCTGGTTACCCAAAATTACATTTACTGCTTTCCTTCTGCATTAGTTTCCTAAAGTACCATAGTGAAGATCCCATGGCACAGGCCTATAATATCAGCACTGGGGAGGCTAAGACAAAGAGGTTTACTATGAGTTTGAGGCCAGCCTGGGTTACACAGTGAGTTAAAGGACAATCTAAGCTACATAAGGAGATCCTGTCTCAAAAAAATAAAATTACACAGCAAAGCACCATAAAGTGGGTGGCCTAAAAGAAGAAAAAATTATTGGCTCACAGTACTCAAATTTAAAAATTCAAGGTGTCACCAGGACCCTGCTTCCTCTACAGAGAAATTCTTCTCCTATTGTCCTAGCTTCCACAATTGTCCTATCTTCTAGCAATACTTGGTATTTTTGGAGGGAGATGTCTCACTCCAGTATTCCATCTGCACACATTGATTTCCATGTCTTCACATGGCCATTTTCTTACCTATGATATTGGATTACGGAGTTCATCTTACTTCAGTGTGACCACATCCTATCTAATTACATTTACAATTATATTTCCAGATAAGATAACATTCTCATGAATGTTGAGATTTTGGCATATCCTTTTAGGAGGGGACAAAATTCAACTCATAACCAACTCCCTTCACTAAAACATCATTTCACCCATTAATCTGAGTCACTTAGTCTGTCATGAAAGCTTAGTAGCTTTCAAGCCCCCACAGGCGCTACTACCACCACACTGCCCACTCTCAACAACAAAGACACCTGAATTTTGACAGAAGGGTGCTACAGAGGACATTGCTATGAAGCACCCTGCTCACCTCTTGTTCTCATATCCATTATGGCCTTCAGTGAGACCAAACTGGCTCTCATCTCTCAACTTTTACATACACAGATCCCTTTATAAAAAATGCCCCTTTCTTCCTAAACACCGAACATGTTTAATTCTTTAAACTCTCTTTGCACCCCTGAAATAACTTATACAGTATATTCTAATATGTTTTTTCTCTTTGCTACACTTGAAGTCCTCAAAGTTAGACATCACGCACATTTGTATTCCTAATATCTAATATGGTACCCGGCCCATAGTAAATACTGAGTTAGACTTGCTTCTAGATTTCTAAAAGTAATTCATATCTAAACACTTCTGCTTGAAGGAACAGATTCCAAAATGTGCTGCCAGAGATGAGGCTGAAAGAAACTTAAAAACTAATTCAGGAAATAAAAGAAATAAAACACTATTGGCTAAAGAATTATCAAAATAGTTTTAAAATTTAAAAAGCATTTCCCATTGCATACCTATTAGAATGGCTAACTTAAAAAAAAAAAAAAAAGACCAGCAATGCCAAGGACTTATGAATACGAGGAAAAACTCTCACACAATGCTGATGGGAATGTCAAACAGTAACCCACTCAGGAAAGCAATTTGGCAGTTGAAGTTAAGCATACACACACCACATGACACAGCTATCTTATAATTTAACATAAATGAACAGTATGCTCCCAGAAAAGTCTGTATAGTAAGGTTCATAGTAACTTCATAGTTACTGAAAACCCCAATGTCCTTCAGTAAGTGAGTGGTAAACACAATGGCACATCTCACAGTGTAACAAATCAGCAAAATAAAGGCACAAAAACAGGATAAATCCCAGTGAAAGAGAGCCATGTAATAAGGCCATGCACCACACAATTCTATCTGTTGGACATCTTGAAGGAAAACAGAACTACAGCAAAACAAAACCATCTGTGCTGGGTGGTTTGAAGTTGGGGACAAATACCAGAGGAATCCTTTGTGACAACAGGATGCTCTCATACCAATGGCAATTAGGGTTACAGAGGTATGCAAAACTTCATAAAACTGTATGTCAAAAGTTAATTTTACTGTATATAAAATCTGAAGTAAGTGTATTACAGTGGCACCTAAGTATGTCTTTAATTGATTCAGGAAGGCCTGCGGAATGTCAAAACAGTACAAATTGTTTTGGCTGGAAAGCATGGAGAGATGTGAATCAGTCCACCTCATATTGCCATGTATGTTATCAAGACCAAGCAGAATGAG